TGTGGGGGAGGGGTGGGGGGAGGCTTGGAAGGGGGGGCACATCTGAGATGTGTGGTTTGCACGGGAGGGGCCTTGGGGGGGGGGTGAGGTCTCTGGGGAAGGAGGCAGTGATTGCATTGGCTCCCAGAGAAACAGGGTGGGGGCAGATGGGGGAAAGGGGGGGTGTGGGCAGCTGGGTCTGCCCTCTCCCACAAAGGGAGGGGGCTCACCTGCGAATCGGAGTGCCAGAGAAGCTCCAATGGAAAAATGAGCCCATGGAACTCCCCGCTATCCAGTTTGCGAGTTCAATAAGCTTCCATACGCTAACTCACTTAACAACCATCGCGGAACAGAAACATGAGGCTCAATTGTGGTCATAAGTCGAGGACTAACCGTGCCCCCCCCCCCCCAACAAAAGTCCCGGGGGGGGGCTGATTCGGTTCCTAAAAATGGGTCATGACACACACACACACACCACAAACCCTTCGGGCCATTGGTGTCGTCCCTGCTTTGAGGCCGGGGCGGCTCAAGAAGGGATGGAAGAACAGAAAAACATAATTGGAGGGGGTCCCTGGAGGTCATGTAGTCCAAACCGCAGGAGACTCTGCTACACCCTTTCAGACAAAGGGCTGCCCAGGCTCTTCTTAAAGGCCTCCATCTGGGGATCCCACAGCCCCATGAACCCAGCCTCTCTCTCTCTCCCCCAAAGCCACATCTAGCCGAGGGGGTCCTGTCTGCAGACTGGGCACTGCACCAAGCCAGGATATGCCCCCCCTCCCGCACCCTCGGGTCTTGGCACAGCAGCAAGACCCCCCCCCCTCCAGCCCCACTGAACCCTCCAGCATCTGGAAGTCCCCCCGCCGAGGGGTTGCAATGCCCAGAGCCTGCCAGAGTTGGCAGCAGCCGCTCCGGCGAGCCCAAGGACGGCTGGGGGTTGAATCATCGCGGGGGGCGGGGGGGTGGGGTGGGGGGCGGTGTTCCTCGGTCTGCCTGTTGAAATCCTTCCGAGCGTTTCCTCCGCCTTCGACCAGCGGCAGCAGGAGGGTGGAGGAGCCTCAGCCGAGCCTCGTTTTCCCACGCAGAGGAAACTTTCCATGTTGGTTTGCTTGGCGCGCTCGGAGGAGGAGGAGGAGGAGGCACCGCCGAGGGAGGAGAAGGAACCGTCCCGGGACCCCCAGGTGGGCAGGTAGGGGGAGGGGGGCGCGGAGGGTTCGGGGACCAGCCGGGGGGGGTGGGGGGGGGGCAGCCCGGTGGGGAGGGAGACCCCCGCCTGCTTTTCTAGTCTTTTTCTCGTGGCTTCAAAGTTCTTCCAAACTTTTGCGCAAAACTCTTTCGGACTTTCCTGAAGTTTTCTTTCTGTTGGGAAAGTTCCGCTGAGTTGCTCTTTCTTCTTCCGCACCTGAGATTTCTCACGACCCCTCCTGTCTCTTTTGGTCAAACACGTTTTGCGAGACAAGGCAAAAGAAAGGGGGGGGAGCTATTTTAATTCCCTTTTAGAAAACAGGGTCTTTTCTGCCTTCGGAATGGCGTCTGTGCCCCTACTGGCACTTTTTAAAGGAAAAAAGAAAAACAACCCACGTCCCATTGATTCGGGGCAAGAGGTTTGGGTGTTAACCATGCGTTTAATTTCTTCTTTTCTTCCTCCGGGGTGGAAGGAGAAAGCCTTTATTCATTTGAGAGACTGTTTCCATGCAAAGATCTAAAATGATTTTTTAAAAGACTCTCTGACACTTTGGGGAGGAGAAGAACACGATTCTAATCTCTCAGCCGAAGAAATGGGGAGAAAGGAAAAGGCAGGAAATGCGGCTGTTTCTCTCCCCCAAGACTCCCCCCCCCCCCCCGAAACCATGCGTTTAATTTCTCTCCCCATGTTGCCAACCAGCTGGGGCCAGCGGGCACTTTGGCGAAATGAAACCCAGCTCGCTTTGAGAAATGCTTGTATGGCCAAAAAAAAAACCTTGTTTCAGTTTCTGGGAACACTTTTTCATGCTTCCCAGCAACCCTTGAAAATCCAATTCATAGGTGAAAAGGCTTAGTGGCTGCCCCACCAAAGTTAGCCTCATTTTGTGGCACAGGGATTTCCAAGAGGCGGGCTGAATTGAAAAACCTCATTTTCCCCCTCCCTAACGGATGGTTCTTAACGGCTGGGAAGCACACAGAGGCCTCCTTGGGCCCGATGGGTGTGGAGGATGGGTCCTGTGGTCCCTTGTCGAGTGACCTTCTTGGAACCACCCTTTCTTTCTGGTTTGAAAAGTTTGGGGCATGGCGGTGGCGTGAATGCAATTTTATTTCCTTCTTGATTACAGTTATGATTTGTGCTTTGTTTGGTTACTTTAGCTTGCGTTAGTACCCAGAGCCCTAACTCCAGAGCCCCCCTCTCTTTCCTCCAAACATCTGCCTTTCTTGCCCCTCTCTTAGAAAAAGTCTTGCAAAATTCTTCTTGGGAAGTTGAGTTTTCTGCTTCACCCTTGGACGTTCCTCCCTTCCCCCACTCTGCATTTCCTTTTACGGGCCTGGCTGAGAAGCCCGCCTCATTGTTCAGGCCGCTGCTTCAAGAGAGGGAACCGCTGGGTTGGAGGTCTTCAGGGGGGGGGGGAGGCATATGCCTCCTTCTGCAGCCCACCTACCCATCACCCCCATCAGCCCCTCAAACCGCCTCCCCTCCATCCGCAGTTTCGAGGAAGGCTGGACACACCTGTGGTGCTCCTGAGTTGTGCACAAATCAAACTTTTTTTTTTTTTAAAAAAGGACAGCATGTGGCTTTCCTGTGTTGTTGAGGGTGGGGGAGCGGAAGGGACATTGTCCCAAGAAATTGTGATAGTTAAAAGAATAGATTAAAAAAAAGAAGAAGAAATCATAATGTTTTGGCACTTCCTAGTGGCAGGTTTACAGTCTAAAAGAGAGGGGTGTAGATTTCCCGCACACACCCACAAACGCCATCCTTGGTGTTGTGTGTTTGTGTGTATCTATGTGTTGAGATCTTAATGGACATTTTGCAAGGAAATCTTCCCAAATTGTCTAGGCGCTTTGCTTTTCTCTGCATCCCCACCTCTGCACAATCAAGTGTGAAAGTGTCCTCTTTTACATGTGTTTACATGTATGTAACATGCGTGTGCAAGGGGCTCTGGGGTCTTCACTGCAAACATCCTCATGTGCTGTGTTGCAAGCCCTGGCTGGGTGTTTCTATCTCAGAGACCATCTTTCGAGATGGGAAGTTTGTTTATTGTTAGGCCTGGCATGGCTACTGATTTCTTATTTATTTGAAATCCACTTCCAGCTGCAATTTGAAACAGAATTTTTACAACGTATCCTTGGCATTTCCCAAATCCTGATTATGTTTGTAAATAACTCACGGTGACCAACATGTCTAATCCTCCTTCCTCCTCCAATTTGCCTCCCAACAACAACCCTGCGAGGTGAGCCAGGCTGGGAGATTCCACGATTCATTCATGGGGCAAATTCAGCCAAATTATGGGGGGAGGAGGAAATTGGGGTGTCAGAGGCAACGGAGCTAAGAGACCTTTAAATGTGTCCCCGATAAAGCTTTGGTCGCTAGGGAAGGACTGGCTGCTTCTGCTATGAATTGAAATGTTTCTGCTCTTTGGGGGCTTTCTCAGCCTCCCCCCCCCCCCCCCCAATTCCTGGACCCTCCCAATCCCTCAGCCTCATCTTCCTCTCCAAGTGGACGGGATGTCCCAGACCTGCTTTGGGGTTCATTTGGGGGTTTCGGACCACTCATTGCCACACACTCCCTGGTGGACATCAGTAACTATAATAAAGCAAATTACAAGCCCCCCCCCCCCCCCCAAAAAAAAAAAAACAACAACTGGGATAATTTGCTGTATTTAGTTCAAGGCAAGCTTCTAGTGCATTTGAAGGAGCCTTTTCCGCCTTTGCAAAAAAACAACAACAACCCAATAGGCATTCTGCCCCACGGGGGAAAAAAATATGCATGCGGCTAAGTTAAGAGGCGGCCGGTTAGCTTTGATCTCAGCCTTTGTGGCTGAGACAAACCAGGAATTGTAGCTTAGCGCGTTGGACAGTTCTAGCCAGCCCTCCTTAGCACACAAACCAAAGTCAGTCCTGGTTTGTGCTGGGATGGGGGCTCGCAGGAAGCCCAAGATTGAGCGAGAAAACCCGGAGCTGCTGAGCAAACATGGCTGCGCCTGTGACATCACCAGGGGGCAAAGATGACTTGGCTGGACGGCGGCTGGGAGGCCCAGACAGCCGACAATCCTTTCTTCTATGCAAGGAGGAAATTCTCCCCCCCCCCGCTCCCCCCTCTCCAGATGGGATTCAAGGCCCTTTTCCTTCTGCGCCTCTGGATCTTCCTCTCCGCCAGCTCCTTGTTAACAAAGGGTCCTTTTGTTCTGTGCGCAGGAGGGAGGCTGGGCGCTTCCTGGCTGGAAGGGCGAATGGGAGCCCAACCTCTCCATGCTGGATGCAGAAAAACCAGCCTTGATTAAATCATTGGGTGGGGGGGTGAAACAGGGACGCTGGCATGGGATGGCGGCACAGCTTGGTTCTCTACCAGGCGGGAAAGCCTTGGAGATGCCCGGGTTGTGTGGCTGCACCTGGGAGTTGTTTTTTTCCAGCTGGGACAGAAAATTCATTTTGGGGTCTTTGTTCTGTGCTACGAAGAGGCAAAGGCCCATGTTTGCAGGTGAACTGCCTCCTGACATGGAGGTTCTATGGTTGCACCTCTGTGTGGCGGGATGCTTCCTGCAGCCGGCATCAGAGTTGGCGTCCGGCCCGTGGGAAAAAAAAACGGCCCTCGGAAGGGAGCTCACAATGGGGCTGGGAAAACAGTCCATAAATCTGGGGGAAACAATAAACTTGGAGGGCCAGGAGGGAAAAAATAACTCCAGGCTGAGCCACCGGGGAAGGAAGCCACTTCAGGAGGACCACAAAAATATCTGCGGCCCTTGATATTCCTTTTTTTCCGGAGCAAATCCCGATAAATATTGCCCGTCTCAAAGCTTGCGAGCATCTCTTGCACTTTGTGAGAGGAATATCCCTCCTGCGTCCCATGCCAGGTTTTGGCATCTGGCTGCAGCTGGGTGGCACAGCAGGTTGAGAGTGGCAACCCACCGAAGCCACAGCGGATCCGTGGCCTGGAGAAGACGCAAAGGGACACTTCTCGTCATCAGCCTCCTCTGCTCGTCCCGTTTTCCTGGGGCCGTGGCTGAGAAGTTGCTCTCCACCGGCGTTCCTAGCGCACTCCGGTTCCCATCATCCCTGTCGGTGGTTCAGGAGCACCGGCTTGGAGAAGCTGGCGGAGAGAAGTTCGTTTTGCAACTCGCCTCTGAGTAAGAGCCGGGTTTTGAAAAAGACAACAGATTTACCAACAGGGCAACAGTTTTCAAGGAAAGTTACGCACAAATAACGCAGAACGGGGAGAACTATGGGGAAGAGGAAGTGTGGGGCTGGGTGCTCTGAGTCACCTGGGCTGTGGGGAGTAAGAGCACCTCGACGCCAATGGAGAATATTTAATATTTCACTTAGCTGGGGCAGGATTTCCCTTCGGCCTTTTTACACAAATGCAGGAGAAACGGATTGACACGGGCCTTGTTGACTCTCATGATGGCTCCAAGAGGAGAATGTGGAACCTGAACACGGAAGGGAGACCACCAGGAGATTCCCAAGTTGTGGCTTAGACCTGGAAGCTGTAAAAACATCCCCAAAGGCAGCTGTGGCCAACAACTTCTCGGCTCTTGTCAAGAAAACCCTCAGAACTGGCTCTGGTGAATCACAGCAGTTGGCAAACACCGGAATTTTCTGTGGCAGAAATTTTCACATTTTCTGGAGGTTTTGCTTGGTAAATCATTAACTCTGATTCTTCAATGGCTTGGGCACCGAAGTAGTTGCGAGTTGAAAACAGTGGATCAAACACGGAGCGTGGATTGTAGCATAACGTCCCCCCTTTTAAAACGATTTGCAGGTGGCAGGGGCGCTCTCTTTCCCCTAAAAATAATTTAATTTGCCCAGTACTTCGCGTTCCTGGCCCTCATGAGGTGAAGAGGCCACAGGCCTGACCAAAAACCGCAGCCTTCTCTAGCTGCACAGTGAGGAGTGTCGCTTCCTTTCCTTTCGAAACAAGTGTGCAAATTTGTTTGCAAGGTTGGCTGGTCACGCTGGTCTCTTCCCAAGCTGTTGGTAGGTGTGCGCTGCGCCCAGAGACACCCGCGTGAGTTTGCCCACATCCCGTGTTTGCACCTGATGTCGGCCGCCGTGTGCAAAACCAGGAAGGTTTCTCCTTGACGGCCATTTGTGCTATTCTGGGGCGTGCAAAGTCCAGGAATTAAATTCAGAGGGAAGATGTTTTAAGGGGGGGGGGGAGTTGATGGAAGAAAATAAAAACAAGACCTCTGTGGAGCTGCACCTGGAAATTTCACAAGACTTTGGCAGTTGGAGCAATGCTATCCTGGTTACTAGGTGGAAAGGATACCACCAGGAGAAGCTGGGGCAGGAAAATAGACTTAAGAAGCTGAAAAAGTGTGCCAGAAAATGAGGGAGAGTCGCTTTCTCACAGGCATGGCCATCCCAGGTACTCTCTGGCCCCGCATGGGGAGGATGGGACCTGTAGTCCAACCTCCCCCCCCCCCCCCCCCCCCCCCCCCC